ACACTGTCAAAAATGAGCCAAAACTGTGCACCTATTGGATCATTCGCATTCACCTCTAGATAAAAAGATAGAAGAAAAACAGCTTCAAAAGCTTGCCGAATGATTCGTTTGATACCTGTTGCTCGTATCAAAGGTGCTTTTTATGGATGAAAAGATATTCACGGCTGGACCACTCTACAATCGCCAAAATCAACTCAACTTGTCAAGAAGGGTCAACAGAAGCTATGGGTCGCAGTCACTTCGCAGGCTCAATAATGGTCTGGAACGACATTTGCGCCAGCGCAGAGACGCCGTAGGTCTTCATTTACAAAAATATCAAAATCAACATTGACCAACATTGTCAGCTAGCAGCAGTAAATTTTACGTGGCGTACTAGAACCTTGGAGTACTGAACACTTTGCAGCTGACGGATTTACTCCAGCAGGATGAGCTCGTGCACGATCGGTCCCTTCAACGGTTCCCATTTAAGAAGAGGTGCCTTCAGGTTTTTCTCGCAAGTACATTTAGTCTTCAAACTCGCCGAATCTCAACTTTATGGAATACTCCGTGTGCTCCACTCGCTTAGAAGGACTTTGGCGCGCACTTGGGACGAAATTACGGTGGAAACGTATGCCGGCTTTGTTGAATTTTCGCAAGTGACTTCGTAAATGTGTAGAAGTCAAAGGAGGCAATTTGAGTATTAGTTATAAATTTTTTGTTTATTGTTATAGTTATTGATCTAATAAGCGCAATTATTTGTTCAACTGAATAAATTCATTTGCTAATGCAAATCTTTTTTGAAGTCGAAATATCTGAAAAATTACTAGAAGTTTTAACGAACACTCTAAATGTTATGTTTCTATGCGTTCATATTGCTTTTCGTGGATGAGGTCGGGATGCCTAGATTTTGGCGTAATAGCAGGCTCATTTGGAAGTACAAATGAAAATAAATAGCTTAAGCATTCAGAACGACAGAACGCAGTATTTTTTACAGCTTTGATACAGGGACTCTATAAGTCTGTACGAAACGGAAGAAATTTCTCATATCAACAACGAAAATGCACGCGGTAATGCGCTACGTTTGAGGACATAACTTTATTATCCGTGTTAAAGCGGTGTAAGAAAGCCTCTCAGAAAACAAGTACACATTAGAAATTACCTGCGCTATGAAATTTCTTACTAGAAGCTTCGTGGAAAGTCTTAGACGAACAAAAGACTTTCCTAAAAAAATCTTTACGATGCCAGAAAAGTACTAAAATGGTAGCGCTTTCATTAGATTGAAGACGATACTTCTGAATGATTTATGACAAAGAAAATAAATTTCATTCATACAAATTATGTGGATAAAGGAAGAAAATGAACTGGAAGAAGATAAAGGGAAGTAGTCGTAGATTACAGGATCAAGAAGGCTCAGTACTAATTTATGATTTCCATTCAAAATTTACACTTTGTTGATTTAGTTAAAAAAGATAACAACTATAATACGTTCAGCAACTTTTCAATTTAATATTTGGTCGAGTAACTTTATCTCATTCGTATATTATAGAAAACTTCCGTTCGATATTACCAATACTGTTAAGTAATTGAAAAAAATAGAGATTTGTCGCAAAGTTGAATTTCTCAATCAGAAAGTCTTCTATAGTCTCATGTGCAACAAAATGAGGAGAAGATAATATAGAATGAACGAAATATTTTATGATGGCAATCAGAGAAGCGCTAACAATCTGATCCAGGCATCCTTTGCACTTCAAAACCAAACCGTTGCGTCCATTCGGACTGACCAAACGAGATCTAGAAACTAGTTCCACTCTCAATGACTATTCACCTCTCAAAGCACGTTGATCGCTGAGCTTTCGGCCAATAGTCACTACGGCCGTCATCGGTGATAATGTAGAGATAATATGTGACATTGACAAAGATTATTGACAAGGATGAAAAAGCATTCATGAAAAGAAAGGCAAGGCGGTACAAGATGAAACCTGAACGGAGTAGAGCTTCATGATCTGAATTGGAACATATTTCCCCGCTAATGCCATTGGGACTAAATCGATCTGAGATCCTCCTTTTTTTCACTATCGAAATGTCGATTCCTACAAAACTTTAATGATTCTTTCAGGGGTTGGTGACCAAATCGGAACTGTGCTTACTGATCTGATGTCACTGATATTTTACACCCTCCAATATGACTACTGTCACTCGTGTATGGTTACCTTCGGCCACTACACCCTCCTCGTTAATTAAAATGTAGTACAGGTTACTTCCAACTAAATAAAAAAACCACCACCCCTCGCGTCAGTGATCTATCGTTTTCTCATGAGTAACGTTTTGATTCATGGGCGCTTCGAGATTCAATTGGGAAATGTGATTTATACTAATGGCGAGCTTTTTTAGAATACTGCTATAACGCAAGGAAGTATCATATTTTTATGAATGCAAATGGCAAGTAAGAAATGTGTACGCTACATTAAAATGAGATATACATGAACTTGAAGAATGTTATATCGTTTTTGAGGGGAAAGAAACACTGAAATTCTTTGGAAAAGTTGGGATTGGAGCTTTGAATTCTACAAGTAGCTTCATGATTTGTTGATGAATGAATGAAGTCGAAACTATCTGCACAGAAAATATGGCATTAGATTGCGATCTACTTCAATAAAAAATAAAATTCAGGTCCCTCTTGGATCGCTTTCCAGACAATTTACATGGGTATTCCTCGGCTTGGCCATCGCTAAAACTTCAAGGGGAAACGGCCCGAGCATCAGTGTCCAACATTTATGAAAGATGTGTAATGCTCAAGCATCAGGCCGCTGTGAAACATAAACGCGAGGAAACGTACCAAATGGAAAAACAGCTGGGATTTGCACAAATTATTATCAGGCACATGTAAAATTTTGTGGATCACAGGAATCTGCCTTCTTATGAAGAGCCTTTGTGGAGAAAAAATGCAAGGAAGCGAATCGAATGTAAAAAGTGGTGAGATCCGCGCAATATATGTGATGAAGATTCATGTGAAATAAGCTAGTCTATACATCATCACGTGTAGAGATGTTGAATAAAATGATGATGATTCAACTTTAAGATTTCCTTGAGACCGATGACAGGCAAGTATCTTTTGGATACAAAGTGTATACTTCACACAAGCAATAAGGTTCTTTCTGCTTGCTCTTGTTGCCTACAACAAAAGACAGTTGATATTTATTTAGTTCATATTTTTAGATGGTTATATTCCCGGCATACATGTTGATTTCACTGATTTTGCGCATTTTATTTTAGACAGGAACTAATAGACATCAAGTGTTAAGATTATGATGAACACCAGAAAACTTTAAAAAAATGCTATCTTGAAATGTGGGCCTAGTTAAAGAACTAGCATAGAAAATCGTCCTCAATCATCAGCGATCCGGTCGTAATACGCATGCTGTCGAGTCTGATTAGCTAAGTGGTTGCCGATATAAGTATCGTCACACAATACATACCGGTTTCATTACAGCCTCTTATAACCAATTCTTATCCGTTGTATGATGGAAGGGCAATGACGTCCAGTCGCATCCCATAAACATATTTATGAGCTCCATCACGATAGAACTGTTATGAAATAAGATTTGGTTTATGTGCCCGCTTTCAACAGTGGTGTGATGTTATAGAACATGTGACGCAGTGGTTGGAGGTGCTTTGCGTTGCACAAGAGGCTGCTGGCTCGTTTTAGCGCTCATGGCTCACCAAGCCATCTCTACCACCGGGTCGGTAAATTGTTACCAGAATGGTCTCAGACTTGTCTGGGAGGTTAGGCAGCATTGACTCGGTGTAGCAAGAGACCACCGTATCATTGTAAAGGCCAGATATGCATTCAATCATCTCAAACAAAGTTAAAAAACTGCACACGAGTGCATGCCGCATTCTTTGGGAATTGATCAAGGCCGGGGGCTTCATTGACAAAACAGGCGGTGGTAGTGCAATTGAACAAGCACCCCCAGATAGGGCGAATTGTGGGTTTGAGTTCCACCTGACGCAAAAGTCTTGTACATCACTCGACATCATTAAGAATTGATGTCACTGATTGCTACTGGCCAAAGAATGCAGCTGTTAAATAGGAATTAGGTCGTAGGGTTTGTGCATAGACTGTGATTTGAACAATGTGATAATTACTGTAGAGGAGGCCAAGTGCTTAGTGATGCACGGCGTGGCCCTACGCGGAATTGATCACACAGCCTCCCACCACTCTTCGGCAGCGAAAAACGATCGTCCTACCTAACGCGGCATTTTGGCTATCAATCATCGAAGTTGTAAGGAAACTTGTTAAGATTCTGCGACGTTTATGAAGAAGATGAAATCCTCAAGCAAGCAAGAAGAATAGTCGACTGCTAAAAATACTGAAACCTGCTTAGTAAAGAGAAAAAACTGTGGTAGGGGTTAAAAGAAGTGATAGAGTGAAATTTACTTCGATAACTGAACATATTATACTGTGATGCTGTTGACTTTAATTAGCGAAAGTAGATTACTGAAGTTTTTTTCCACGATTTGCAGTGATATGGCAGAACTTCTGTATCAATCATCTTCATTCCACAACTCCTGTCTTGGATTCCGTCCAAGCTTTCGCTTGTGAAGTTCGAGTTACGATGGAAAGCAGAAACAGAGGCATAGCTCCAGAAATAGATAGTAATACTGCACATTTTGACAGAGCTGGAGGTCATAAGTCATGTACATTTCTTGTGATTTACATGATATTTCATTTAGTTACCTTCCGAGATGCTTACAGAGTATGCTCCACAAGAAGTTCGCAAAAACTATCTTTTAGCAAAAGAATTCCTTTCATTTGGCCGCCTTTAGCGGTGGTATGACCTTACAATATGCCAGTGATGTAGAGTAATGTGTAAAAATTTTGCTTCAGGCGGAAGTCGAACCAACATTTCACCCTGTTCGGGGTGCGCGCTGAACCGTTGCACTACCGACTTCCGTTTTCTCAGCACTCTTTCTACACTACAACGCATCTTTCGCATCTAGAAAGAGTGATGACAAAACGGGCGTCGGTAGTGCAACGGTTGAGCACGCTTCCCCCCCCCGATAGGGTGAAGTGTGGGTTCGAAATTCCACCTGACGCAAAAGTTGTTGCTTGTCGACGAAGTCATAAATTCGACCAGTGTACGAAAATCGGCTAACTGTTATGGGATTTGCAACACATGAACAGCAGCTTTCCCATTGGTCCTTCACTTTCGCATTCTAGAAAGATGGTTGGCAAATTGTGCCACAGATTTTCACAGCTTTATTGTAGTCGATAAAGAACTACTTTGATGGGCGGGAAAGAGCATGCGCAGTGGTAGCGAACTCTTCCTAAGTCGTTTTCGCGGATCGCATTTCTTTTTTAGAGGAGCACAGGTTGAGTGATACGATACTCAATTGACTCGGTGGAAAAAGACTGGATAACACATATATGAGCCGGAGACTCAGTCGATGAGGATCCATGATGTGTGATCGTATTAAACTGGACTGCGATTACAGCGTACGTGCTACGGAAATTCACTGAATATGAGGAACAACATAAAAAGAGAATTAAGCAGAAAAAGACAACCGAAGCCGCATTCATGTCAGCAAAAAAAGTGACTGAGAAACAAGAGCGCCTTATAATCTGCCCTCATTTTTGAAGTCAACAATTGTTCTGTGCGCTTTGTTTTAGGGGAAAGTAATAGGTTACGTTTCACTAGAATTAATATTTTTACGCACCCAATAACAGAGTACTTGGATGAAACTTTATCGACCCTCACAAGTTCTAGCTGGAATGTGCAGCTCAAATTTTCGACACCCTTCTCATCTGCGGATCCGCTGGATTATACATCGACAGTGAATTAAGGCAGACATTCCATGCAAGGAAGATCAGACGACTAACGGACAAAAAAACTTTAGGGTAAACCCCACGATCGCTCATATGTCTCATAGAACGATGATCTACGTGTTGAGCTGACATCCTTGAAAATAAAATCAGTTACCTTTCTTTTCGAGTATTTTTCAAGACCACAACTCAAATTTCAATATGCCAGATAATCATATTTTTAGTCACTCATGTCATGTTCTCTGTTAAAATAGGCTGACTTACAGAGCTCGATACACGTGTTTCGACCTTGGCGGTCTCGTCAGTCGGGCGGTACCCTTTCGTCTTTTGCCAGTCCTATGTTCCATTAGCGACGACGAAAATTTTACACTCCATGTTCGGTGAAATTATCACCGGGAAAACAGTGTTGTACACTCGATTGCTTTTGTCTGGTATCATTAATATATCATACCTTTCTATTCGAGTGTTTTCTCAAGACCACAGCGCAAATTTCAATATCAATTAGCTACCCACTACCAACGAGGTTTCCCAAATTATGGTGTGAAATTTGTACGGACTACCATACTCTAATGATGAAGCCACAACAATGAACGATAATGGCTAAGCTAAAAAAACAGAGGGAAAATGTGCTGAGAAATTCAAACTCACAAAGACGGGTCGTCCAAGTACTGAAGTTACTAAATAATTACTAAAGGACGACATAATCAACGGCGCTGGACTTTACCTATTTTATCAAACTCAGCGCTAAGTATAAGAGTAGCATAACACCTTTGGTGCGACACACCTTTTTTGAGTTTTCTTGGCGAGAAGGTAATGTGGAAAACCCGAAGGGCTATGCTGCAACATATGTATCTTCTATTTCGGACGTCGTGCGCCACATAGTGGCTCACGCAGTGTGCCAGCCCACGTTTCGAAAAAAATTCTCGATTTTATCGTGTTTTTGGACATCACCAACTATCAAATATACTCATATCGTATGTGAAAATAAAAACAAAGATAATGTCAACCAATGGTAAACAAAATGCGAACTATTTCAATACAAAAAGCATAGGATGCACTACAAAATATAGCAGCACAAAACACAAAATGTACTTTTTTGACGGCACCCACGGGCAAGCGACTTTACAAAGCTCCCCGTCCCGTAATGGGTTAAGTATGCGGATAGAAATCTTGAACCGCTTCACAGCTTCGTGACACGTCAACGTCACTGCTGAACGCCACAGTCGCACTTTGAAACTCAAGAAAACTTCTCCACGATGAGGCGGCAAACGTTCGAGGGTCAATATAAGATGATAACTAATTTCTTGAATAAAGTTGAATAATAAACAATGAAAAGCAATTACAGTTACTATAATTTGCTTGTAGACAGGAAAAGAGATGACTGGTACACAACAGGGAGAGATTTGTAAGATACATTACCCAACTCAGTTAATCGATTGCGAAGGGATATGCATATCATAATCTAAGGTATGTCAATGCGGCCTTGGTACGCAAAGGTGTCATGGGTTGGTACAACAGAAATGGCGGTTTATGGACTATTGAAATTTATCGTTTGATAACGCAATAAATTATCAAATAAGCTTGATTATATTACACATCATTTTATTGCACATTTCTAGTCATATATTTTATTGCTAATGACGTTCAACGTTCTGCTCTTTTATATGTTTCAGACTACGGAAAGGTTGTTGGTTGGTGCAAAAGTTTTGGTGGTTCCAGACCGTGAATTCAAAATGGGCTGTAAAGCAGCAGTGGCAACTTGCTACATCAACAACGCATCTGGCCCCCGAGCTATGAACAAACAGAAAGCTCAAGGGTGGGCGGGGGTCACTGACGAGGAGGACGAGCATCCGAAACACCGGTGTATGGCCCTGGCGTACCAACCTCGTTTTAGGCTAAAAACATTCTTTTTCTATTGCAGAGAAACTTAACGTAGGTCAATTTACGATTGTCTGCCATTTGAAAGGATTAGAAAGATGAAAAAGGATTGTCCTAAAGTAATTATGCCCGGCCAACAGCCGTACGTCGCCCAACAAACGCTTCAAACGTTGAACGAGTTGATAAACATAGTTTTAACTCACCTTAATTATCACTCCCACTGTATCCTACCACTTCTTCAGGTATGTCGACAAACCCCTGAAGAGAAAACGCTTCTATAAACATCACTATTCAGAAAATGCTTACCAAGAGTTTGTCGAATCTCGAGGCAGCAATCAAATATATGCTCATTGATTGTTTCTTCTTGATTGATGTCGATTTGTTTAAGCCTAGGTATAATGATTAAAAAACTCACGGTGTCTGACCGCCATCACTCTTGCACCAGCCCAATGCAAACGCACCTCCTCCATTCTTATCGCTCATACAATCACTAGCACTTATCCTAGTCATGTGCAGAACACTTGCAAGTACCCATGTCAAATAGTTACGAAGAAAGAATGACTAATCCAGATCAAAATGGGTTGATATGCCCGTAGCGAAAACAACACTGTGCCAAACCTATGCGATAAGGTGCCCTTCAAAAGGAAACTTCATATACGAGCTATCCGCTGCTCATCGAACATGTCAAAAAGAGTGGTTTAGGAAACTCTGTGGGAATTTCGAAATCATCCTCGAAATACATTACGACGATAATTGGCTCGAAACCGCCTGTATGATCGCTTTTTCAGGCACTTTATTAATCCGGCTTCACAGTGTTTTTTTTTTCACTGAAAGATCACAGTACTTCTAAGAACTCAATTCGCTTTCCCCGTCTTCTTTTTGAACGTCGTAGAATTCTGGTTGAAGAAGTCTCTGCAATCTCGAGGATAGCCTGGCTGTGGCGTTTCATAGGGGGTTGTTGTTCACTTCTGGAAACGTTGGGGAGAGGGGAGGAAGGGAGGTGGAGCACGGCTATAAGCACGCCGCGACGAGTATCACAACCACTCCGCCAGGGCGTTCACCGTATTATAGCTTATGTACTTGTGTACGAAACAAAAAATTGTGGGACGTGTCTCAATGTTGGAGTCGGAGGCTGCATATGTTAAGATACATTACACCTAATCCTTCGCAAGTTATGTAATGATGAATACGTAGATGAAACAGGTATAACACTTCGTGTCTTTTTGAAGAAATACCCAAACGGAAAGTCGAAAAGTTGCAAAGTCCTCTTTGAGTACACACAAGGTAAAAGGCATAAAAGTGACGAATATGAGGTAGTGATTCTTCTGAGACCCTATTCAAAATGTTAGCAAAAAACACTCGAGGCTTTTTGACTAGTTTCAAGTGTCTCGTAATGAACAAATGGAGAGAATCCCTGGACGTAAAAATTCATATGACACCATATCTCAGATTAATGTTTTGGTTTGAGCATCAATACGTCACTATCACACACCAACAACCAGCTCCTTTGTTCCATTTGATCTTCTGAGCTGAGGATGAGTTCGAACATCATCTTATACGAAGAACATACTTAGTCTTGAAGCTAAGACGGTAAGGACTATTTTTTCTTAAATTAAGTAACAGTTGTAAATACAATAGATTTCCAATGATACTTTGAGCAATCTATAAACTTATATGAGTAAAAATACATAAAATATGTTAGCTTTGAGGAAGACCGAATAATCGAAACGTCTGCCAAGCGGTGTTGAAGCAAATACATTATCACGCAAGCTTACAGTAAAAGGATAGTTAGATGTCGAGCAAGTTCTAGCAAAGAAGCGCAGATCAATAAAAGTTGCAGTGAAGGGGAACTATTTTGTGAGGAAATGAAAAAAAAAAACACCAGCAAAGTTTGAGATATTATGGAGCAAGCAAGAAATTTTCTGAGTACGCCACTGTTGAACATATAAAAACATTCACTCCTTAGTTGCAATTAGACAGTTATAGCAAACCTCCCAACGGAGTTTTGCTATCTTTTCGGGAATTTCATAATAATTCAGGCAGCGCAAATGGTCTACGAACTTAGAGAGCAAGTGGTATCGCAGAGGCTCGAGGACCTTAGACAGAAATGGTCCAAGTGACAAGGGCGGCACCCAGCTGCCACCAACCTCAACAGTCAGTTCGATCGCGGGTCATCATCCGTACGGTCGTCTGACATCACCCGGACCACCTCACCTCAGTACATTGTCGATCCATTATTGCTCTCTCTACACAACCTCGTTGTCTTGTAACTAATTACTTTCATAAGGTTGCATTCATACAACTTAGATGAATTCAATAGATTTGTGAACGGAACATGGTACTTCCGTGGCGGAGCAAACTCTTTTTGGCTATGCTCGACCCATCACCGCGGTTTAG